CAAAACCGTGTTCAAAGGCAGGAGCTATGTAAATACAGCCTAGGGGTACAAGCCCATGATGTCTCGTCGCTAGCCCGTTTAAAATTCATTCTTCTTACAACTACAAAACATCTCCTTCAAGTCTTGTAGTCCTAGTACCTTGACTTTTCAGACAACCGTATCCTAAATTTTATTTTTAAGGTTTCACAAACTCTGTATAATCACTATTTAGCAAATAAAGTAATTTGTATTGTGTTGATAATTATTTACGAATCTATTTGACAAATACACATAGACTTTCATACTTAGTTAAAATCAATACGATTTTAAGCTCAGTCGGTAATTGCATGAAAATTGAGCCTAAATGTATGCGCTGTTCAACATGGTACATAGGTACGCAGCCGCTGTTTAATTTGCATTTCAGTATATCAATTAGGTTTAGTTGAGCACTCAAATTCAAATGAAACTACGGTGTGTAAGTCGAATGGTTTATTAAGACCCATTTAATCTGGTACCCATTCAGTTTTGGCTGTGGAGTAAATATTTAATTTAATTTATAAACTCGATTTGAGCTTCGCACAGCGAGTGCAATACGGTTCACTGATTTGCTAAATTGACAGTAATTGACACTTACAACAGTTTTCAATTCGTTTGAAAATCCCGGCAGTCCCGGAAATCTCTTTTATCCTAGCCAGTGACCAGCCATTAGGGTAATTTTTGTTGGATCGTTTTATTTCCAAGAAGTTTTAAAAGCTAGCAAGCTAAGCTGTCTTACTTTCTGCTTGCCCAGTACCTCGTTAAGGAAAACTTGTGGTTGGTGGTCGTTATAATAACAAACTGTTTTACAAATTCATCAAAAAGTCATTATTTGTTTGTGTAAATTCAACAGACATTCAGACACATAAAGATAATAGTAGACAGGTGCTCAAAACTGCCACATGCATGCATGTAAATTTCAATTTCAATACCTACTCAGGTCAAAACTTAAACAAATGTTAATGTGCCCTCTCATAAGTTAGAAGAGTAATACGAGAGTTCCCCTAACTAAGCTTTGTTGACCTACTTCACGGAACAAAATTAATAAGCTGCATGTAACTTCGACCTAACCACTAATGAATCAGCAAAATGAAGAATGCCTCTTCACAAAGTAGAAAGGAACGAAGTCTATTCGAGACGTTTTAATTCCCCAGCTATGAATGGAAAACACTGCTATCCAGAAAACATGAGCCCAAAGAGCTCACAGTGTTTTGAGGAACAATGAACAATTATTTTTCGGGGAACACCATTGTTTTGAGAGCTTTTAAAATTACAGTGTGATATTGTATTGTCTGCTAGAATAAATATTGGAGCATGCCTATATTGATTTATTTTTGTATAAAAGGTAGAAATTGCTTACATAGTGTTAAAGGCATTTTGCCCTTCATTAAGTACATAAGTTAAATGTCAGCGGGTTAATAGGTGTCTCCGATATCTGGTTACGAGGCTTCTAAGTGCCATTAGTCGGTTGAGTGCAGCGTACAATGTAATATAGAGTGAACCAATAATAATAATATCATATTCTAAATCCAATTGCGTCGCTACTAACCGGGCCTTGCAAGGTAGTGACGCGCATTACTTACAGTTACAGTCTATATTATGGTACAATAGTTGTTATATTCAGGTTAGGAGAATCAAAGAGGAGACAAGATATAGTTTTCTGTTTTTGAGATTCAAGAACTGGATTCTAAAGAAGGAACATTTCTTGATAGGTTAGTTTTATCTCTTCTTAGTAAATTGTGAAGCTGTTATCGAAAATTCCTTTCATGATTTCGTTTGCTCCTAACGTTTAACCGATATCCGATACGATAAGTTTCAAGTGAGTTTAAGGTGAGCTAATGATGAGACGAACGGAATAACTTCGTAACTTTTAATGAAATATTGATTCAAAATCTTTTGGTGTGCCAATGAAAAGACAAATTGGTACCAAAATTCGATTTTTAATATTCTCGCGACCTGATAGACTATACTCCAGTTTTTATTATCACTATTTTAAATAAAGATGCACTTGTTTTTTTCCTTTTTAAGTACTAACATGATAGCTCTTTGAAAGTTTTTTCATGGCGTGATCATGAGTAGCGCACGCTCCACTACGCGTTCTCTCTGTAATCAACCTGCTGGCATTTTTTCGATAAACTAACTATACAGCCTGACAAACATGGTCTCCTGGTACTCTGAAATAACCAAAATGATATAAAACAAAGTGAACGGAACGAAAAAAAGAGTAATTAAAACACAGTAAACAACGGCTCGAGTGGACGCTAGCTACCACTGGAGGCTAAAAACGTTTTAATTGTTTTATCTGAAGGTAAAACAAACAAAACCGGGTCGCATAGCAAGTAAATTGAACCCGGTTTGGGAATCAAACAACAGCCTCCAGCTAGATAATATCAACTGACTCATTCTCTTTGTCCAGCAAATAAAATTGAGCGATTTAAGACTGTCCCTACCTTTTTTAGGGGCAAAAGTGTTATTAACACGTTTACCGGTACATTCAGAGATTTCTTCAAACCATTCTCTATTAATCTCTTTGTATGTTAACAGCTAAAGCATATGCTTCTAAGACACACAGGAACCACTAACCCTCTTATTTTTAGGAATATTGTCACTCATTCATAACAAACTTATTTTTAGGAAGAAAGCAGAAAGGGTACTGTTTATCAAATAAAAACGAAAGCATTCCTAAACAGTGGTTACGGAGCAGTTATGAATAAAACACGTCTCGGAATTGGAGCAAGGTTTAACGTACGGCCCGACAGAGGAATCTCAAGGGTGCTGGGAGACCATTGTCAAGGCTGGATCATGTGTGGATGTCAGTATATCTGACGAACAATCATAAAAGTTGGTTGTTGTACAACAACGTTTTTTGAGCCCACACTTCGTTTTTTATTCAGACGGTGAAATGTAGCGGGGTGGAAACTGCTGTTTATTTAATCAGTTACCGACTCAAACACTGGTTACAGAGGAAAGAATAACTTAACAACGGAAACCAGGGATAGTTTTATTTGAGACCTGATATTATTGGCATACATAACATAACTTCACGCCTGTCTCCCACAGGCAAGCAGAGACTTTGGAACGCCAATTGCCACGATTCCTACATACCTCTTTTGCTACATCAACATTCATCAATATTTTAATGCATGCTAGTCTAAAGTCTTGAGTACTTAACAGTATAGAACCCACAATTTAGTCGTCAGATCAGAGGACTATAATACGTAAAATATGTAAAATTATAAATTTGACACCTGTGCCTCCTCTGGTGCTTCGGGTGTACATATATGGCCGGCGCTGACCATGCGTTTACCATCAGGTGACCTGTCTGTTTATTTGCCTCCTATTCTATAAAAATTTGTATCTAGGCCATAGGCCACTATCATCATCGTCAAAACAGCCCCTGATAATTGTGAACTGCTGGTTTATCCTCTAACATAAATAAATCTATCAATAAAGGATATTTTTTTTATTTAAAAAAACATGACCCCACACTAAGATTATCTCCTGTGTCGTGGGTGCGTTTACAAACATACAAGTTCACATACCTACACATGATACATGGACCAACAATTTGTGGATCACACAAAGTGTTGTTATACGCCAGCCGGTTGCCCAGCCACCGCACCAACCGTGCAGTAATTTTTTTCTACATAAGGCATCAGACGGGTTGAATGAACATTTACAGACATGTTATAGATTAAAAGACCAAATTAACACTATAATATAACAAAATATACGAACGTAAATGGTAAAATATGGGCCTGCGGACGGCGAGCATGGGTGGCTCCCCGTCCGACCAGAAACAGACCCGAGCGTACGGCGCGTCGCGTTCCGCGCGCGCCTCAAAGAGCCATCAGACCACCACAGATGGGGCCCAATAGGGCCGATGCCGATTCGGAGTCGCGGAGAACCTAACGGGTAACCGGGGCTCCGGCTCGACGTGCAGGAGAAGGAACGGGGTGGTTTTTAGTCAGTAAGAGTCTGACACTCCCTCCCGCCTCACCCGGGCGGGGGCAGTCATTCGATGATTTTCCCCCCTTAAAAAAAAAAAAAAAAAAAAAAAGGTAAAATATCACTTTCATAGTATAATATCCAGCTTTATTTAACAACCCTTTAACATCAATATGAACTGCGGTGTAATTTGAGCTCCCAGCGGTTTGAACTAAAAATCCATTATTGGTAAGGGGAATCTTCATTTTATCATTCCGCTCACGTCGCGAGGATCAATTGATGGAAACTTATAGCACTCATAATGGTTACACTCAGTTCAAATATGGCTGCCATTAGACAACCGTTTGTATGCTGCAAAGTTAACGCTATTTGATCCTAATATCAATACTTTTTGGTAGCGTTACAAAGTTAGAATGAAAATGGAAATAAAGATATTTTTGAATAGTAAACGTTGCGTTGTTCCACGAATGAATAACAGTCTTTCAGACTCGCATAACTTTCTGTATATTTATGTAAGCTCGTTATTAAACAAAATTATCTCCTGTTCTTAGTTATTGCATGTAAGTTTCTCGCAAACGATAATCATGTAGGTTCAAAATACGCGTAGAAGAATAACTATCTTTTAAACTTTCCTTAAACTTCTTGACTCCTGGTAGTCTTAAGCAAAGTGTTCGTAACTCATAAAATATTTGTTAGCCAATTAACGTGCTGAACTCGCAAGTCTACTCATTAAACTTTCTAGAACATTAAACCTAAATGATCATTATACTTTTTACAATTTTCGCCCTTTCTGTTTTAGTTGTAGACCTTGTTTTTGACTAATTTGATTGGATGGTTGGCGCAGTGGCTGAGATACCATGTCGTTCCTGCATGCAACAATGAAATTTTTTGTGTGATCCATCAATTGTTTTGTCCGGTATAGGGGGTGATGTGTTTTGCGAATACAGGAGAGTAAATCTACCATGAGTGTCCATGAGGCAACACAACGTCATCTGTGTAATAATAGTTGTAACAAAGAATATTTATCATTATTGCAGATGGCTGCAGAAAACCGTACTCGTATCCAGCAGAATGACCTGCTACTCCATGAAGCTGTGATCAAAAACGAGCCTGATGCTGTACGCGAAGCACTGCAACGTCCCACCGATGTCAACTGTAGAAATAATGTGAGTTTACCTATTTATAAGATTTTCGATTATAAAAATAGTTATGGCTGTTGTAGCGTAATTTACTCAATATTATGCGCCCTAGCGATACTTGAAACTAGTCGGTTCAATTTTTGGGCTATACCAAAAAAAATCCCGGAACTCAACATAACAGAAAGAAGGTAAAAGTAGGAGATTTATTATGGGAACTTCTACCTAACCTTTCGAGGAATATGAACAATCTGATGTTATGTTTTGATAAATTAGTTTTTGCTACAAAGAAACAATAAGCTTTGATCTTACATTTTCTTAGTTATTACATCTACAGATTGGGAAGACAGAAACGAAAACTGTGGATATCATATTATTATTTTAAAGAACATGATTTGTTTGAAATAGCTCAGTTTGAATAGTCTCTAAAGATCTATATTTTAGTAAAATGAAATCTTTAAGCCTCGGTCTCATTAATTCCGGAGCTTTTCAACCTTAGACCAGAACCTCGGAAGTTTAAACCGAGAGACGGCATTAAAATTTCATTCGCAGGATTGTACAAGTAAATCTTGTAAATTACTTCTTGTGTACGCATACTTAATAATGCCTTCCTTAATGCTTTTACGAACAATTAAATTGGAGCGTTTTGTGTTTGTCTGTACGTTGTGTGGCTGTAACAAATAATCCCGTGCCTTCGACAAGATCCCGCGTTGACGTTGAGTTAATGAGATCGGGAAACGATTTCCTCTCATTTGATTCCCGAATTTCATCTTATTCGATCTTAATCGAGAATACAAGTTAACCGGTTTCTCGGTTCATTGGAGCTATTAATTATATGTGTTTGTATATCTAGCAATATCAAAAGTTCGATACAAACTCCGAATCAACCCCTGGAGGAGTGTAGTTACTACTAGCTAATAGGAACTCCAACGTTTGAAGACGAAGTTGCATAATTTGTAGAGAGCATGCTTCAAATGCGGTGTTTAATTAAGGTAGATTTGTCTCCTCAAGAGAAATTAATACTATAGGATATCTCAATCTCTCTCACTGAATAATGATAATGACAATAAAAATATTTGTGAATAAATTGTAGAAATAAGATTACAAAGTATTTTGTTATTCCTCCTCCATTTTAATGCTATCTACCGAATAATACGTAATACGTTACTGGGGGTCCGGATCGAAGTGCAGGTGGAACGGGGTGGATTTTAGTCAGTAGAGTTTGACACTCTCACATCCCAGGCGGAAGATGTCATTCGATGATTCCCCCCTTTAAAAAAATGTACCGTGTATTAGTACACATTTATTAATGTTGTTTTCTTTCTTAAGTGCTTATCTAATTGAAATTACTTCGATAAGACAGTATTGTGGGTAGAAAAATTCGAACGTGGTTTCAAAATGTATGAGAGAATATTTTATTTCACAGTACGGAAGAGCACCAATACATTGGGCGGCCAGCAGAGGTAATGTGGAGATAATAAATCTACTCATCGAATCCAAATGTGACATCGAGGCCGCTGATAAGGTCTGATAACAATTTAATTGCTTTGTAATCAACTAAAGTGCATTTATAATCCTGTACAAGGGATTAGATAATGTGGACAATCCATCCAAAATTATGTAGCTGTCTAAGTGCCTACGTACGTACTATATGCTTATTTGTTAGAACTTCACGTGATTTTTGCTAAAGGGATATGAATATGAACTCACCCCCTATGGGACTCATAACATAAATAGTGAAAAGTGGGTGTTACATTGTACAGTGGCATTAAGTGCCATAATGTGCACCTCTGCCTACCCCTTCGGGGATAAAAGGCGTGATGTTATGTTATGGATATAAACAGTGTTTGATAAATTCAAATTTAAAAAAAAAAACAAATCAACCAAAACAATTACACGATTCAACGAGTATAAAAATGTAGAATTTTCTACGCACGACCTTGTTCTACGAATACCGTTTAGTACTAGGTTTCCATAACAAGGAGAAAGTATTCTATGATTGTTACAGTTCGGAATGCGACCGCTGTTGATGGCCGCATGGCATGGCCATCTAGAGGCAGTGAAAACTCTTGTTGGCGCTGGAGCCTGTCTTGCTGCTACTAACAAAGTATGTTGTCCTCGTAGATGTCAGTATCACATAATCTAGGCACACGTATTTATACAAAAATACCTCAAGTTTTATCAACAAAACCTACGTTCTCCGTTTTATTATAACAATACCATATTTCAACAGTAATGTTAACGTATCTTCTATCTATACATAAATAAAATCGTAGAAAAGTCAAAATTGTACAGTGAACATTTTTTTAAAAGAATACTTGTAGCGTGATCTACAATCGATATAGAAGCCAAAAATATGGTTTTTAGAATTGTTGTCTTTTTGTCTGTATGTATGTCATATGTCCGGGATGATCTCAAAAAGTACTGCATGGATTTACTTCAAATTTTGCATGAATATTACTAACAAGTCGGGTCAACATATAGGCTACATATATCACGCTATCATCAACAGGAAAGGGGCCCTATACTAGGTACTAAATCAATTCTGACGACATTCGTTACCGTTGAATATCCCTTGATAAAGACTAATTCAAAAGCCTAAAATCTGCCAAAAGTCATTATTATACGCGGACGAGGTCGCGGGCAACAGCTAGAATTTAATACACGGTTTTGTTTTCACAAAAACAAGCTTATTAGATACCTAATTACAATAATATAATATTGCTTCCAACCTGATAGCGTAGTTCTATATAATAACGTAGCAAAATATCAATTACAAACTTGTAACAGAGGAGCGCTTGCGTTTATTATAATAATTAATAAATAATTATTATATCAGAAACCCTGTATCGTATAACATTGGTAATTAGTTTCAATTTAAAGGAAGCCTTGTTAAGAAACCATTTAATACCGTGGCGTCAAAGGCGACGATTCCCGTAATTCAGAAAATGATATTTTAGCCTCAGGAATACTTTACACTTATTAGAAAATATTTAAAAAGAAACTATAGAAAATACACAGACCGTTCGACTATTACAAAAAATAGTTTAGAAATAGACTTCGACCTTATTAAATAACTTTTTAAAATTCTTTGGTTAAACAACAAGTACAACATTCGACAAACTACCAACCGCTCATAAACAGCAGCACGTTTGATTGCAGAAACAAAACGATCTTCTACAATGTGCGTGCTCCCGTGGGTCATTGGACGTAGCAGAGTATGCCATATCTTTGGGAGCCAAGGTCCAAACTTCGGACGCTGCTGGTGATGCGCCCCTCGCCTTGGCTTCCAGAGCTGGGCATACTTCATTGGTTGAACTTCTTCTACAGAGAGGTTCTTATATCGATGCTGTTAATAAGGTAAGCTATTAGGCTTCCAAAATGTTGACGGGTAGTTACATAACCAAATCCAAACTTCTTTTGTAAATGAAAATTTTTTTTACCGTTAATGCATGTTTCTTTCATATTATAATTCATAAGGAAAAATATCATCAAATGGGAATTACAAAACGTATTCTAGGAAAAGTATTTATCAACCCGTGATTTCAACTGAAAATTAATTAATATTTTTAGTACATACGTATCGTATATTAATATAATAAATCTGGTCACATGAATAATTTTGTGGAATCAACGTTAGCTACGAAAATAATGTTGTAGAAATGTTTTCAACAGATTTTGTTTATTAAAAATACAAAACTCATTTGTTATTTTAATTGAATATATGTCTGATAAAATAGAACTTCAGAAAATGATTTATATAAAAGCAATATATACAAGCTACATTATCTTGACAATTTTCAGCACAGTCGGCCCAGCGAACTAAATATACTTGATAGTTTACTCACGCGGTTATAACATTTTGGTATAAAAATATGCTCTGAAAAACATAATTTCTTATTTTGAAGACTTTTCAATATGTTATCGTTTATCACCATCATAAATGGATGTACTAATTCATAAAACAAATATAATAGTTGTTTTGTCACTATATAATAGGTACTAAGTAGTTGTTAAAGTTTTACTCAGGGCTCGTTCTCGTAAAACTGCGACGTCGCATCGCAAAAATGTGTGAGCTCCCTCTACGCATTGCAAAAACTTGAGAATTGATTCGCATCGTGCATCAAGATCTTATCTTCCCAAAGCCTTCTTTGTGTCTTTTTCCTGTACCTCCTAAGCAATACCAGAAGTGCACACTTCATTTTACGATCAATGCCACGACCTAGTTTTCAATTTAAAATATGTTTAGTAGGTACGGTTGACGGTCGTCGAAGTAATGGTCACACTAGGAGACGCCTTGCTTGTCGCACGAAATCGCATCGCAGCAATTCGCATCGTAATTTTTTACGTTGCGAATTCGCATCCCATCGCATCATAGTTTTTTTTTTGGGACAAGCCCGCCACAACCTCCCAACACCGCTGCAACTCCTGTAAGCTAGGATCTACAGTAGATACAACCATGAAAACATCAGAATACTAAAGTCCGGCGCGTCTCAGGGACATGAATAACTGTCTTGGTTCCCGCAACGGAATGAAGCAAAATATATTATAAGAGGAGAAGAAAAAAAACGATAGTTTCCACTTCCCTCGGTGAATTACTGCAGGAGACCGAATGAATTACGCCTACCTAAAGCCTAAAGACGAATGAATGAAGCCCAGTGGCCAAGCACCACGGAAATTTGCCTAAAAACTAAGTGGATCCTATGTGTGTGCGCATCGCAGTTTGTGTACGAGCCCTTAAAACTTCATTAATACTATACAACTATTTCCATATCTCCATCTCCAACTACACCATTTTGTATCTTTCGTCAACTCGGTGACCATTAATATAAGGTCTCATGTGAGTTGTGATCTCCTTGAAACCTTTCGGTACGTAGATTGTTTCTTAATAAAAAAAAATCCAATTTAATAAAAAAAGTAACGATTCTAAATCAAATAAATTAAATCTCACAGCTCCGTGATCTTTCAACTTTTTCCACTCCACCTGTGCGTCTTCAAGTTTTATTCACAAAGTTCATTGTTTTTCTTCAAAGAACTTTATTTAATTGGTTTTTAAGAAAGATCGGACTTTATGTGCTGATCGAGTATAATTACTGTTTTATTCGAGGGACCGCATATAATTTGTGTCTCTGTCACATTTAAAATTGTGAACTTTTAAATCAGATCCATTTATTTGCAGTATATTATGTGTCGAATAGTCAACAAAAATATTGTTATATTAACCATAATAATAAGTAGAACATGAAAAAATCCAAAAATTAAGTCAACTTGGTTAATTATTTACCATATGCTATTTATTTTGTTCTGAAAAATCTATCTTCAATGCGTAGTGGACCTGTATAATAAAAATAAATTAGGCACATTCCCGTCGACAAACATGTTTTAAAGTGAAATGCCTAAAGTTATTATGCCAAAAACAAATAAAACAAAGTTTAGCAGTACACTGTTATTCTAGTTAGTAAAGTGGTTTACCTACTGAGCACATACAAAATGTCAACGTTACCGGAGCAGGTTGGTAATGTTATTTCGCTCCGAGAGGACTACCTCTCGGACTTACTCATAGTTTAGTTTAGTTTATACACATAACCGTAACTTTAACTCAAAAGTTATATTATCAGTAATAGATAAGTGCATAACAATTTCATCAGGTTCTATTGTTAAATCAGAAATTGAATTCATTCCACTGTGACAACGAGGGATTAAAAACCAATCGAATCGACAAAAGTGGATAGAGAGTACCAGGTTAGCATAAAGCTTAACAATGCATCAGTCTGATTAATTCCACTTTTCTAACGGCGAGCAAAGATTACCGGGAGTCCGGGATTAACATTCTTCGACCGAGCATAAGGTTTGCGGAATTAAATTATAAGGCCATTACTGATTCTCATTTAGAACATAAATTCACATAATTGGAGGGCCGTAATTCAGGTCAGGGAGACTTGGGAAATGGATATAGTAAAGATAATAAAATAAATTGTACTTACGAATAAAACTAGATGACGTGATAATATTAGGTTAGGTACACTATACAGTATACGGTCCTATACATCGAAGAAGAGTACCCATAAAGTAAATAATATCTCCACAATAAAAACTCCGCATCTCCATCGTATTTTTACCTCAGACAAACTTAATTCTGCCATCAGAAAATGTAGCAAATTATGCAAATACGAGCCTCTATCCCACACTACAGAGTTTAGTGTTGAATAAAGTGATCTCATATAAAAATATAGTTATTCCCAGGAGATGCCGCGAGGCAAACTAGATAGCAAATTGAATCATGCTGCCATCCTCGCTCTCTGATTTGTCGTAATACCATTACAAATAGCATTTAACCACCATTGTTATATAACTCTTTTGCCTATCCTTGTACAATGAAATATTACTTGTTATAATATGCGGTTTAAAACGTCTCATCATATAATCTCCATGTAGGTATGGCAGACGGATGAGATCGCAATTAAAAAGTTTACGGTTGAACACAGAGCCCGCAGTAAAATTACGAATGGTGCTAATCTCCACGTGACTTATGACAAAATCTTCATCATACCAACTTTCTTCAAAGCCAAAATTATTTATCGTGAGCCAGTGGTTACCGTTATGATTTTAGTTTGCTGGCATTAGGTTATACAGGACCAATTAAGTACACAATAGCTTGAGAGAGAAGAAAACCTAGTTCTTAAGAAATTGAAAAAAAGTAACAAAAGATTGTACTTATGGCGGCTACATAGTACCTCTATACTTAATGGCTATCTACCAATTATAATAGTATTGATTTGTTAATCAATCCGATGGTCTTCACTGACAGATATGTCAAAAATGCTTTTAACTAAATGACACTTTAATAACATCACATGGAAATGAATTTTAAATTGTTTTTTGATGTCATATTGATTGTAAAACATGTATTTAACTGGATATTTTTTATTTTGTTTTCGTATATAGGCATGACATAACATTATATTACGTTATGCCTTATGTATTCCTTGTAGGAGTGGTCAACCATACTTTTCAGCAGCCTTTTTATGCGTCACATACGATTTTTTTTATACCACGACGGTAGAAAAAAATCTCACGCCCCACTTGATGGTAAGCGGGAATGAATTGCCCAAATGGAGGGTAAAATAAAAAAAGTCAAGCTCGTTTAATGGTAATAGTAATGGCTAGTTTATAAAATAGAACCTTATTGTAACTAAATAACATACCTAATATTTATTTGAGGACTCGTTTTATGTGTCGGCTAGTAGTACCTATCTAATTTCTATTCGAACATTTTCTTGTTGTATTATATTGTCTGTTCAATCTGTCACCAAATTAGTGTCTCCTCGCTTGAGCAACCAATCAAATAGATCCTTCTGATTGCGATCATTCAGATAACTAGGTCCAGTTTCATCGTCGATCTACTTAGCTTTTGAGTATACCCAATGTTGATAACGTTGTCTCAATTTGTACCATAATGTGTGTGCTAATTCGGCATTAGCCTAATGGCACATGAGAGCCCCTGTAGCAAATACACGTTATTTTACGACTTAAAGACTGAGTTTTTAATGTCCTTTGTTTTGACAAAATCATGTTTTAATGTGTGGCCCAGTCCATGCACATTTTTACGAGTTTTCTTTGCTTTGATATCAACAAAATTAATCAAAATACTCCAGTATTGCTATCTAGTATTTAGTGTTCCAGGAATATACATACAAATGAGACTTTCAACTCTGAAATCCAATTGCAGAAACCAATTCACATGCAATAATATTTTCTCATATTCCTCGGAAAAGGACTGCTTTATACGACGACAAATGAGAGCCACGCCTTCATTACAAATGATTGCTGTTTTAATTATGAATGCCTAGTAACTACATGTCTTGGACAAATATTATTCTCCAAAAAAAATGTGCATACACGATGCACATTTCATTAATAGGTAAGCATTTTCTAAATACGAGTAGTTATGTCCTTATCTATTAGGCATTCGAACAATAACAAAATATTTAGAGGTATATAAATAAATAGGTAATCATAATACTTATACCTTTTTTGGGAGAGCCATGCTTCAGCACAAACAGGCCGGCTCGCCCGGAGTGATACCAAGACCTCACAGAAACCTGACGTGAAACAACGCTAGCGTTGTGTTTCGTCGTGTGATTGAGGTTACTGGAGGCCCACTGGGGCATTCCTTGAATTCGTAATTCCTAAAAGGTCGACTTGTAACGCCTCTGGTGTTCCAGGTGTCCATGGGCGACGCCGATCACTATCATCAGGTGATCCGTCTGCTCGTTTACCGGCTGATCCCATAATAAAAACTGTAGCCAGGAAGGTTCAGCAATCAAAATAATTAAAATATCAATTCCACCATCGCTTAATCATTGGAACGAGCGAAGTTTTTGAAAAGAAAAATACAAAACGTATACATTGAACTACAATCCACGCTCAATGAACGTTTTGTTACAATTCGAGTTCGAGTCGATTGCCGACCCGAGATGTTTATTAATACAAGACGTAATCGATATTTACTCGGCAAAAGCGGAAGTTTAGGAAAATGTTACCTCTCTATTTTACTTTGTTTTTTGTTTACCGAACCGATTCTATTTTGGTATCATCCATGATAGGGTATTGGTATATTGTCTCATTCAATGTTAGAAGTGTCGGTGTGTTTGTATTTCAAGCGCATATTTAAGTCAGATTGCAATGCCTCATTATCTAGCACGTCTTTAAAGTAGTCTAAGTTTGTGCCTGATTTTCTTCTGTCGGGCTGAAATTAACCTACTTGTCCTAATAGAGGAAACAATGTGTGAACTTATGAGTAACATAAACCTCGTTAAGTACATAATTATGAAAGTTTAAAATAAGTGAGAAATGAGTTCATAAAATAATGCACAAGTCAATACTTGCGAACGAGTCTATAAAAAACAAGTTTATTCAAACATCAACAGTAAACACAACTCTAGACCCAACAAAATTCTAACCTTGATTAGAACTAAGTAGAATCCAATGAACCAGGCAAACATGACGATGTAGTGTTAGACTGTTAGACGAAAATCAAAGCGCGAAACCAAACAACGTCGGATAAAATCAACATGAAATTGGCGCCGAAACAGACAGAACACTTCAATAAGCTATGTCACCCTAGTACCCGCAATTACGGTCGGCTGTCCCCACTCGACGTTTGAAGCCCGAGACAGGCACTTAGCGAGGAAAATCGACGAACAAACAAACAACGATTGTTAGTCCTACAAACTCCATATATCAACTTTACTCTGGACCTTTGATACAGAACACCAAAGCAATGTGACATTTTATCTGGTTTCACATGAGTGCTGTATAGTAATGGTTATCAACTTGATAAAATAATGTTATTTAAAGATTATCACATAAAAAGCCAATTATGTAACGATTATTACAAGATAATGATGACTTATCTGCCTTTCATGTCTATAAAACAAAAATTATACTTATTTGTAGGTATTTCATACAAAAAAAACTTTATTGAGTTGAGTAAACTCTATAGTATTGTTTTTCACATTTACGAGCATGAATAAATTGCCCATCCAATCAACTATTTTTCGTTGGTCTCTCTACTAAAATCCTATCATAATACATCCAGTACCTAGAGATACTCTCTGTTCTTGAACAAGAACTTATATATATCGAGTGTCTATTGTTATTGTAGCAGTTAGCACTGTGCAATGCTACTACTGGCAGGCACTTAATTAGATACATTCCGTTGTCTTCCTCGAGATAATCCTATCACAAGAGATGAATTGTTCCTGATCCGGAATTCGATTGTACGGTGAATTCTCAAAAATTCTATAGTTAAATCACAATAATTTCAAAGAAATTTACTTCTACATTTTGTAGTTCAATTCAGTCGTATCATTCCTATGAGCTATGATCCTGTCGACTATTTCATATAGGTATAATAGTAGTTACCGATAGGTAAGTACCGTCTATTGTGCGATTTGTAACCTAAAACTCATTTACAGGTAGGCCGCACGGCACTGCACGTGGCTTGCGAAGGTGGTCACTCCTCGACTGCTGCGTTCCTAATGTCCAAAGGTGCCTCCAAAGAGGCGCGAGACAACTCAGGTCGAACACCTTTGCACCTGGCGGCCGTACATCGACATACTGAACTCGTGAGAGTGCTCCTTGAAGCTGAATGTCATGTGGATGCTGTAGACAACGTAAGTTTATGATATTCTAGTACTCCGATCGTATATATTTTGCGTATTTGTGTGCACAAAACGAATAAAACGTAAACCATTTTGTTTATTCACTTTGGGATAAAAATATAATGTGTTCTTGTTGTAGTTTAAAAGTTTGTAGAGGTAGTTTATAAATGACAGACAGACAGACAGGTTGATTATTTTCGTTATATTAGTATCAAAATCAAATGTTCGTTTGAGAAGTACATCTACTATTTTTGTACCTTGATTACCTTAAAAACTTTTAACATTTTTTCTAACCAAGTACATTTCACATTTCTAACCATAAACATGAAACTAAAAAAGTATTCAAGAAATTATTGGAAGTTATTTATCTTTCACGCCATCACTGGACCTTGCAATTACCGAAAGAGAAATAAAACTGTATGAATAAAACATTGCAAGCTCATTACCTGTTGGGAGGCACAAAACTGGAATAAAGTTGTTTTGTGGTTTTGGTGGAGCTTAAAATAAAGTTCGTATTCCATGTTATTAAAGCACATTTTTAATTGGCAATTTGTTTTCAGAATGGAGTAACTGCATTGCAAATGGCTTGCGCACAAGGCTGTCGAGGTATTGCTGAACATTTGTTGGCATTTGGTGCAAACGTTCATATGCAAAACAATGTGAGTAAGCGCTGCTAAAAAAATAAAGAAACATAACTAAGAAACTACCAAGGTAACATAAAGCTGAAGGAATTACTTAAATAATGTTTAATTTTGTCAATTAGGTTGGGTCGTCAGCACTGCATGCAGCCTGCGCAGCCGATGCTACGGACATCGTGGAATTACTCCTTGCACATGGAGCAGATCCTGCCCTAACAGATCAGGTAATCCAATGACAAAATACTTTGACTTATACATAAAAATGTGCACAATTTGTACCAAAAGTTTTATAAAAAGTGAATTTCGTCAGGGGACACCCGGGTTTGAACCGGGGACCTCTCGATCTGCAGTCGAATGCTCTACCACTGAGCTATATCCCCACGTGACAACTAGCGCTAAACAGAGGATTCCATAATGTTATCATCGTCAAGCTCGTGACGTCATACATTAATATTTATAGAAAGCAAGTTGATAAAGCCATTTTGTACGCCCACTGATAACAGTAATTTTATCGCTGTTCTAACAATGATGACTCAATCACTACACAATGGTGCCTACATATTGCCTTTGATTTGATTTACAATGCTAGCGAGACTATTATGTGCCAATTATTCTCTGTACAATATAGGTCGCCCCGTGGTCGACATTTACTGTATTCTGTGCGACCATAATTTATTGTAGCGAAGAAAACTGGTTTGACAAAAAAGTTATCCGTAGTGGTAGGTGTTAGTTTAATTTCTGAGCTGTGTTTTTTTTTTACAAAAGTATAATACTCTACGTGGGTATCTTTAGTCTGTTTTTTCTTTATTTATAAAGAGTGTGGTATTCAACCAAAACAATAAAAACATCGTATTTGTCACAGACATTATTGCTGATGTATTCATATCTACCTGCTTTATGTACCAGGGAAACATAAATCGTAACGCGTATACATATTATTCGATCATGCGGTGATGGAATTTGCATGGTCGCGATCATGGATCATGCGTAATATTTCATTGGAAGGATTTCATACATTATTGATGACACTCGTTCAGAATAACGAAGTTGTATAAATGTTTTGTTGGGTCTTGTTTTGACTTACAGGCAGATTTCGTAGCAGCCTGATTCTATTCAAATCAGAGACTGAAAATCAAATTAAGATCAAGTCATTAAGGCTTGTCTAACAAAGTTATAATTTGACACTTAAATAACATAAAAGTATTTACTCAAACTTATGAATTAATCATTATTAAGCAACCGAGCCAAAGGTTCATTTGTTTGGTAACAATCGGTTTAACTTTTAATGCTTTTACTTTAGGGCTTTAGTCACAGCTTTAACCTATTCGGAGTCACGGAGAACGTATCGGGTTACCGCGGCTCCGGCTTGATGTGCAGGAGAAGGAACGGGGTGGTTTTTAGTCAATAAGAGTCTGACTCACCCAGGCGGGAGCAGACATAAAAAAAAAGACAATAATAACTTCAATAGGCAAAATCATTTTGCGCCGCCATTACTGAATTGTGTCATACATAGAAACCATATTATTTGATGTTAAATTACACATAGGTATTTACTTTGTGAACGTTCGAGTTTACTATTCAGAACTTCTACATAAAGTAAAGTAAATGTCCGGACCGGGACTCGTGTACAGAATCAGGCTGCAGGCTCAACTCCACTGAATTATTGAAGCGTCTCGACCTTCATACCGTTTCTGTGCTCCCGGTACATTCACATCTATTGCATAATACAAATTGCGAACTTTATGTACGCCGGGTAATAACAACACAATATTTCATTTACTCGACTAGTTCCGCTGAGCTCGGCGTTTAATATATGATGTGTCCCTGGTACAAGACAAGGATGATACTATATAATGATTGTCATTATTTGTCACAATTTTTAATGACGTCACACCGTTAAATGCACTTCGCCCATCATGATGAAACTTTATTTTGTTTCTCCATCCGTCTATTATTTTTGTTATTTATTACTTTGGGTTGTATTTCATTGATTAACTAGTTATACATCTTATTTATTAGATTAATATTAATATGAAAATAAAGCATCAGTCATTAGTTAATTAATTTTATCAAGTTAAATATTTGTCCGACTGCTCACATGGGGATATAGCTCAGTGGTAGAGCATTCGACTGCAGATCGAGAGGTCCCCGGTTCAAACCCGGGTGTCCCCTGACTAAAATCCTCTTTTTTACAATATTGAAATATGTATTAGTCAGAGTTCACTTTAATTTTTGACGAAATACATTCTTAACTGGTAGATTTTCATCTTATTAATATTCAGTTTTGAATTCAATAACAAAAGTAATTTTACGATTTCATTGTGTAAATAATTTCTTGCGTACCAATTTGTGTATAAACAAACGAGTATTATGTTGAATTTGGAATCACAAAAACCTCTTGTGAGTTGCCATTTGTTGTAACAAACTCCTTGTATTTCTTGGTACCCTAGGACAACACGGAATGTTATATTGAAACGTGTTATTGTTAACTTTAACAATTTGTTATTGTAAACAGAACTTGGGCTTGTTATTTCCATTGTTTCATTTAAATAATAGATCGGCTACTACATAATTCCAAGTTATTATGTTTAGCCCTAGGGAAATTATCAGGCATTCGTCAGAATTCAAAGTACCTATCTACTTATAGTTTGAATCATAGAACAAATATCATAGGCTTCTTAGTACGGTTATGAACAATGAGTGAATTAATTAGTCTACCACTAACATTTACTAATTAGCTTGGATAGCTTGTTTGAAATACGTCAACTGTGAATTGTTAAACTAAGTAATTGGGATTACATTAATTAATTATTTCAGCTTACAATTTATTCAGTGGAATATCAGAGCTGGTAATAATTTCGCTAAGGTACTATTCTACGGGTCTTCCGTATACATCATCAT